ATCAGGGATGTGGCAGAGAGGCTGCCTGCTCTAGTAAGTCCCACGGACTATTACCCACTTCTGGTGATACATGTGGGTGCTAGGGATATAGATAGTAGTAGCCTGGGGAACATAAAGAAGGACTACAGAGCCCTGGGAGAGGTGGTTAGGGGCACTGGAGCTCAGATTGTCTTTTCGTCAGTTCTCCAGGATACAGGGGAGGACCTTAAAAAGCTAGGAGGATTGGCCAGGTTAATAAATGGTTAAAAGGGTGGTGCCATAGTCAGGGGTTTGGGTGTCTTGAACACGGGACCCAAGCTTGTAGGCCAGGTCTGGTGGGGGCTGGTGAAGCTGGTCTGATAAAAGAAGGGAAAGTGGTTTTGGTAGGAGGTTTGCCAGACTGGTCAAGGATGCTTTAAACTAGATGTGCTGGGGGAGGGGGGCATCATTCCATCCCAACACACCCAGTCAGTTGCCAGCACCTATAATAAATGCTTGGAGCAATGTAGAGATATCCCAGCTGCTCCAGCCAATGAGCTGGCTTCATTCGTAGCTTGGCTCAGATGTCTCTATACAAATGCCCGTAGCATGGGGAACAAGCAAGAGGAATTAGAGATGTGCACACATCTAGAGGGTATGACATAATAGGCATCACAGAAACATGGTGGGATGACTCCTATGACTGGAGTGTTGGAATGGAAGGTTACAGGCTCTTTAGGAAAGACAGGACTGGCAGGCGGGGAGGGGGAGTTGCCCTTTATGTTAGGGATAGGCTGGAGAGTATGGAACTCTGGGGACAGGTGAGCAGTCCACAGAGAGTTTGTGGGTCAGGGTTAAAGGGAATATAGCTATGGGAGACATTACTATGAGGATCTGTTACAGACCACCTGATCAAGGAGAACCTGCGGATGAAGGACTCTACAGACAGATAGGAAAAGCCTCATGCTCACAGGCCCTTGTTCTCATGGGTGACTTCAACCACCCTGACATCTGTTGGAGGGAAGGTACGGCCCGGCACAAGCAATCCAGGAGGTTCCTCGATTGCGTAGAAGACAACTTCCTTCTGCAAGTAATAGAGGAGCCAACAAGGAGAGGTGCCATGCTTGATCTCGTGCTCACCAACAGGGAAGGGCTCGTTGGAAATGTGACTCTCCAGGGCAGCCTTGGATGCAGCGATCACGAGATGGTTGAATTTGAGATCCTCAGGACAGTGAGAAGAGCGTGCAGCAAGCTCACTGCCCTGGAATTCAAAAGAGCAGACTTTGGCCTCTTCAGGAACCTGCTTAGTAAGGTACCATGGGATACAGCCCTAGAGGGCAGGGGGGGCCCAAGAGTCTTGGTTGATATTCAAGGATCACCTGCTACAAGCTCAGGAGTGTTGCATCCCAACCAGAAGGAAGTGCAGCACGAGGGCCAGGAGACCTCCTTGGATGGATAAGGAGCTGCTGAGGAAAATTCAATTGAAAAAAAGAGGCTTATAATAAGTGGAAGCAAGGACAGGCGGCCTGGGAAGAGTACAGGGATGTTGTCTGGGAAGCTAGGGACCAGGTTAGGAAAGCTAAGGCCCAGTTAGAATTAAACTTAGCTAGGGGTATTAAAGGTAACAGGAAGGGATTCTACAGGTACATAGCAAATAAAAAACAGACTACGGAGAACATAGGCCCCCTCAGGAAGCTCTCGGGAGAGCTGGCTACACAGGATTTGGATAAGGCTGAAGTTCTTAATGACTTATTTGCCTCAGTCTTCACTGGCAAAGGCTCTGACCAAACCACCCAAGTCTTGGAAGGCAGATGCAGGGACTGTGAGAATGAAGACCCTAGGCCCACTGTAGGAGAGGATCTGGTTCGAGACCATCTTAAAAATCTGAACGTGCACAAGTCCATGGGACCTGATGAAATCCATCTGTGGGTCCTGAAGGAGCTGGCAAATGAAGTTGCTAAGCCACTGTCCATCATATTTGAGAAATCATGGCAGTCAGGTGAAATTCCCGACAACTGGGAAAAGGGGAAATATAACCCCCATTTTCAAGAAGGGGAAAATGGATGACCCAGGGAATTACAGACCAGTCAGTCTCGCCTCTGTGCCTGGCAAAATCTTGGAGCAGATTCTCCTGGAAGGCACATGAAAAACAACAGGGTGCTTGGTGACAGCCAGCATAGCTTCACTAAGGGGAAATCCTGCCTGACCAATCTGGTGGCCTTCTATGATGGGGCTACAGAACTGATGGACAGGGGTAGAGCAGTTGATGTCATCTACCTGGACTTGTGCAAAGCATTTGACACTGTCCCACACGACATCCTTGTCTCTAAATTGGAGAGACATCAATTTGATGGATGGACCACTCGGTGGATAAAGAACTGGCTGGATGGCCGCACACAAAGAGTTGTGGTCAATGGCTCAATGTCCGGCTGGAGACCAGTAACGAGTGGTGTCCCTCAGGGATCGGTGTTGGGACCAGTCTTGTTCAACATCGTCGTTGCTGACACGGACAGTGGGATTGAGTGCACCCTCAGCAAGTTTGCCGATGACCCCAAGCTGTGTGGTTGGGTTGATACCCTGGAGGGAAGGAATGCCATCCAGAGGGACCTTGACATGCTTGTGAGGTGGGCTGATGCCAACCTCATGAAGTTTAACCATGCAAGGTCCTACACCTGGGTGGGAGCAATCCCAGGCACAGCTACAGGTTGGGCAGAGAAGAGATTCAGAGCAGCCCTGAGGAGAAGGACTTGGGGGTGTTGGTTGATGAGAAAATGAACATGAGCTGGCTTCAGTGTGTGCTTGCAGCCCAGAAAGCCAACTGTATCCTGGGCTGCATCAAAAGGAGCGTGACTAGTACATCAAAGGAGGTGATCCTGCCCCTCTACTCTGCTCTCATGAGACCTCACTTGGAGTATTGTGTGCAGTTCTGGTGTCCTCAACATAAAAAGGACATGGAACTGTTGGAACAAGTCCAGAGAAGGGCCACGAGGATGATCAGGGGACTGGAGCACCTCCTGTATGAAGACAGGCTGAGGAAGTTGGGGCTGTTCAGCCTGGAGAAGAGAAGGCTGCATGGAGACCTCATAGCAGCCTTCCAGTATCTGAAGGGGGCCTATAGGGATGCTGGGGAGGGACTGTTCATTAGAGACTGTAGTGATAGGACAAGGGGTAACGGGTTGAAACTTAAACAAGGGAAGTTTAGATTGGATATAAGGAGGAAATTCTTTCCTGTTAGGGTGGTGAGGCACTGGAATGGGTTGCCCAGGGAGGTTGTGAATGCTCCATCCCTGGCAGTGTTCAAGGCCAGGTTGGACGAGGTCTTGCGTGATATGATTTAGCGTAAGGTGCCCCTGCCCGTGGCAGGGGGGTTGGAACTAGATGATCTTAAGGTCCTTTCCCACCCTAACTATTCTATGATTCTATGATTCTATAAATTTCTTTAAAAATGTGACCTATAGTGTGGCTAGCAGGCCAACAGGGCAGTGATTATCCCCTTGTACTCAGCATTAGCAAGGTTGTGATCAATCCTAGGCCCGTTCACTACAAGAAAGACATTGAGGTGCTGCAGCAGGTCCAAAGAAGGGCATCAGAGCTGGTGAAGGGTCTGGAGAACAAGTGTGATGAGGAATGGCTGATGGAACTGGAGTTGTTTGGCCTGGAGTAAAGGAGGCTCAGTGAGGGTCTTATTGCTCTCTACAGCTAGCTGAAAGGAGGTTGTAGTGAGGTGAGGGTCGGTCTCTTCTCCCAGGTAACAAGCGGTAGCATGAGTTGGTGTGGCCTCAAGTTGTGCCAGGGGAGGCTTAGATTGGATATTCAGGAAAATTTCTTCCCCAGAAAGGCTATCAAACCTTGGAACAGGCTGCCCAGGGAAGTGGTGGAGTCACCATCCCTGAAGAGATTTAAAGCAGGTGTACATGTAGTGCTTAGGGACACGGTTTAGTGGTGGACTTGACAGTATTAGCTTAATGGTTGAATATGATGATCTCAGAGCTCTTTTCTAACCTAAATGTTTCTGTGATTCTATGATTCTTGAGTGATAAGTCACAAAGCTGTAGCATGATCCACCAGGAAGTCTTCAAAGTTTAATGTATGGTATGATATCAATCTAGCACAGAAAGAGCCTGTCACTGCTAGCTCTGTGAGACCCACTGAGCATAAATGTTATTTCTTTCTCACAACATAGCTTCTAAAGTATTTTCCAACAAGAAATTTGCTGTGCATTTAGTTTTCTGTTCAGGATTTTAAACAGTGATGAATTTGGCTGCCTTTTGAGTCAAACCAGCTGATTTAATTAATGAATCTATTCATCTGATATAAGTGCGCAAAGCTGAAGTAAAAATTCTTTGAAGATAGGGCAAAAGGACTGTAGGAGATTAGCTACACTAAACTCCTACCCTGAAACAGGATGACAAACGTAGAGGTTGAAACTTAGTGAATGTTAAAATCTATTTCTACTTGTTGTTTTGTGAAAATTACTTCAGTTGCAAATGGCATTCATAGTAGTATAATCCTACAGGATGCGTGAAACACTTTTATTGTACAAATTTTGAAACTTTCTGCATGTTCAAAGAAAAGCCAAATGTAGTTTGTAAGAGCAATTCATACAGATTTCTCAGCTAACATTAGGGACTGTAGTGATGAGGGGTAACGGGTTAAAACTTAAACAGGGGAAGTTTAGATTGGATATAAGGAAGAAGTTCTTTACTGTGAGGGTGTTGAGGCACTGGAATGGGGTGCCCAGGGAAGTTGTGAATGCTCCATCCCTGGCAGTGTTCAAGGCCAGGTTGGACGAAGCCTTTGGTAACGTGGTTTAGTGTGAGGTGTCCCTGCCCATGGCAGGGGGGTTGGAACTTGATGATCTTAAGGTCCTTTCCAACCCTAACTGTTCTGTGATTCTGTGATTCTGTGAAAACAGTGAATGAAAAACAGCTTTTTCAGAAGATTATCCATAAAACTGGAGGTTAGTACTGAAGAAAGCACCTGTATATCTGTGTCTGGGGCAGGGGAGGAAATAATAATAATAAAAAAAAAATAAAAAGGAATTTTAGAAATGCAGAATATTTATTTTAGAGACCTCCTAAATCGGTCATTTTACCTTACAATTTGAACTCAGCTTTTGTGGTTTAGAAAAGGATATAAGGTTAAAAAAAAAAAGTTAAATAGAATGGCTGAGTAACCCAAAGGCAAGCAAAACATTTCATTTCAGTTGGAACAATATTTGGGAATTTCTTCCAGCTTCTGCTTAGGTTTTTGCCAGCCTCCTTCTCCCTCTAGCCCCACTTCATTGTTGCTCAGTCCAAGCCATTTTTCCCCCAGATATTTTGATTCAGATACATAACCCAGACAGTTGTTATTTACTTCATATTTGTGATCTCCTCATTTCCAGTTGCCCTTTCCACTGGCCTGAACTACCAGAAATGCTGCTCACTGAGAACATTGTGTCTCCATTCTCACTCCATCCATCTGGGGGTTTTCAGCACCACCAGAGTTCTTCAGCATGTCCCTCTCACCCCAAGCCATGCCACTACAAATCCCTATCAAAGAAGTCATCAAAGACAGAAACTCTCTCTGTCTTGGTTCTCACAAGCATAGGTTTGTGGTAAATCTTCTCTTCCTTTTCCCACTCCTCAGACCCTGTGCTGGAGGTGTCCCAGAAAAGATCCTTCATCTGCAGCTCCCTCATCCTCCATCCCTCATCATGCCACCTGGAGATTCCTCCATCCCACATGTTTCCTTGGGGAGAGAAAAAAAAAAAAACCAACAACAAAAAAAACAAAAGAATCATAATTTTGTAGAAATGCAAGCCCTGTTGCCTGGCGTTTAGCTGGAAATGGCATTGGGCAGCTGGAGGCATGTAAAGAGGATCCTGAGATCACTGTAAGACCAGACCCCATGCTCAAGGCTGTTGGTGGACCATGCAATGATGAGGCCAGGAGAAAATTTCTGGCAGCTGTTCCTCAAGCAGTTTATTCTCTATTTCTTTCTCCTGGTGAGCCCACTTCCAGCTTCCCAATGTGCCCAAGGTTGCTTTGCCAAAGACTGACTGCAAGGGTCAACACCCAAAATGTATGTGGGTATCCTCCTTCAGTCCTTCCTGCATTTCAAAGGGGGAGAGACAAGGCTGACTCTTCTCTCAAAAAACAGTCTCACAAGGTCCCTGAAAATAACAAACAATCCCAAATCACCCAGGTTTCCCTTTTGCTGCAAGGCAACATCACACTTGATTTCTCCAGAGCTGAGAAAATTTAGATGCAGTCAATCTGGTGCAGTAGAAGAGCAATTCTGAAGCCCTCCCCAGGGCACACCGCAGGCTTGGGCAGGAGGTTTCTCATGCTGGGGCAGAGGGCAGGGGGCAAAACCTGTTGTAAGCACTGATCTTCAGGAAATCATTTTCCATTTTTTTTTCTCCTTTGCCCCTAGGTGAACATACATGTTGGTGGATCTTTAGAGGCTTCCCCCAGCCCTTGTATGTTCACCTGTGTGGTGGTGTTGTATATGCTCACATCCTAGGATACTTTCACCTGATGGATAACCTGACTCTCCAAGGATGTGGAGCCCCAGGGACACTCTGTCCTCACGCTCAGTTTGCTGTGCAGGGGACATGTGGGACAAGCTCAGACTCTCCTGCCAGTGGGAACCTGCTCCTGAGGAATTTGGCTTTATGCCTCTATGGCTAAGTCCACAGCCCTTAATTCACATCTAGTCAGGTCTGTTTGGATGCTATCAGGGAAACAGCCCAGAGACCTGCGTCCTCTTCTGAGGCATCCCAGTGCTTTGCCTTATAAACACATTGCCCAGCATTGTCATCCCAACTATTTTAAACCTGCATTGTATCACTGCAGGAGATGGAGCAGCGGAAGCAGCTTCCAAAGGGAAACTTCTCTGATGACATTAAAAGGCTGGTGATCTTTTAATCTCCTCGGAAAATTACTTACCATGGTCATCTCCATGAAAACACTGATTGTGCTCAGCAGGGACGAGGTCTCGGCTTTCGGTGCTTTTGCCTCTCTGGAGACTGTCAAGGACTTTCTTCTGGCTGAATTCCTTCATGTTTTGTTCATTGATGTTTGTCTCCCTGTGGAGATTTCGCTTCAGCTCTGCCTGGGTTTGCAAACGAGTCGTGAACACAAGCAGCAGAGGAGTGAACACGTTTTAGCAGCTCAACATGGCGTACCATTAGGGGGTTGGCACTGAAAACAATTACACAGTCAAGTAGTTTAACCCAAGAAAATGATGTTTGCCAAACTGGGTACATGACAGAACATGAGCTGGACAGAGATTTTGGTCTCCCCATGAGCCACAGCAAAATGAGAGCAAAGCATTGGAAAAATCAGAAGTAACTACAGGTCACAGAGGCCCACTGTGATGCTCCCCACCTCTCGTCTGCCTGACCCACTGGGAAAGCAGCAAAAGATCAAGGTGTCAATAGTTAAATGAATGACCTTCCCAACATAAATCTTGAAGCCTCCTGGTCCATAGGAGTGACACTGGAGCTGGGCAGCACCCCCGTCTGGGAGGGGAAGCTCCAGCCTCTCCTCAAATCCATCTCAGCATTACCTCTTGGCGCCTGCGGGTCAAGTCCAGCATCTGCAGCTTGTGCAAGTGCTGCCGCCTACCAGGGAGGTGTCTCAGGCTTTGCCCCTTCTTCTCCAGAGCCTATGAGGTATTTAAAAATGTAAATAAATACACCTGCACTTTCTCAAAGGAAAGGAACAGCTACCAGCTCCCAAGCCCACACCCGGCCCCTGAGGCTCACCCCAGATAAAGGCAGCGAGCACCTCCCTGAGTAGCCAAGTTGCAGAAATTTATCTCAGATTTCCACTGCACATCACAGTTTATCTCACAGCTCTGGGGCATGATGAAAAAATCTTCATTAAAACAATGTATACATGCTTCTGCTCCTGAGGCATTACCACATGGAGTCAGCTGCCCAAGATAATCTCATGAACCAAAAGAAGTAAGCTCTCTTGCATGTTCAAGGTTTCAGAGGTTGTTTATGGCACACCACCCTTGCAGCCCTCTGCTTGATGACCACAAGCAATAGGTGTTCAAGTTGTTCAGCCATTTAAAGGACTGGTGTCCTGGATTCAGCAGTAGCAGTCGTTTTTTCTCCTTAGTAGCTGGTGCAGCGCTGTGTTTTTGACTTTCAGCCTGGGAACAGCTCTGATAACACCGATGTTTTTAGTTACTGCTCAAATGTTTAGTCTGGCCAAGGACTTTCTGAGCCTCATGCTCTGCCAGGGAGGAGGGGAAGCTGGGAGGAAGCAGAGACAGGACACCTGACCCAAACTAGCCAAAGAGGTATTCCATACCACAGCACATCATGCCCGGGATGTAACTGAGAGTTACCCGGAAGGGCTAGCTCTCTCCAGGGTTGGACGAGGTATCAGTCGGTGCTCAGTCGGGCTGGGTATTACTGGTCAGCAGGTGGTATTGTATTCTCTTCCCTTGTTATTTCCTTTATCATTATTATTATTGGTGGCAGCAGCAGTGGTTTGTGTTATACCTTAGTTACTGCACTGTTCTTATCTCAACCTGTGGGAGTTACATTCTTTCGATTCTCCTTCCCATCCCTCTGGGAGCGAGGGAAAGAAAAGGGAGGGGGTGAGAGAGAGACTGCGTGGCTGATTTATGGCTGACTGGGTTTAAACCATGACAACTGGTCCTCAAACTTTTAGCCTCAAAAATATTTAAGGCCCTGGCCCAGCAGGTCAGCCTCATCAGGGAACTGTGATGCTGGAGAAACTTCTCCCTTATTTTGCGTCCTTTCAGCCACACACCGGTGTTTCAGGCGGCTCACACGCTCAGCCAGGGACAGAAGTGCAGCCAGTGTGAAACACTAGCTTCTGTTCTTCGGAGTGCCTGACTTCCAAGGGAAAGGAGCCTCCAGTCGGCAGCAGCCCTGTGCACAGGGCTCGACTCATGTGCTTACCTTTGGCTTTGGGCTTGCAGCCACTTCTTGCTGACTCCAGGGCTTCACAGGAGCAATTGCTTGCAGAGGGCAGGCAGGTTCAAGCTTCTGCAAGTCCAGTATTTATAATACTCAGCACTGCTTGTTCCACACAATCATAAAACATGATACAAAACTATATAGCATTTTTCCAGCTCCAATTCTGGTCCAGCTGCTTAGGATACAGGAAGGAAGGAGATTGGCATTTCTAGCAGATGCTTAGTGAGATGAGCATCTCGTTTGGTCCTTCAGGAATGGGCAAAACTGAGAGCATCTCCTGCATTACAGTCAAAGTAGCAAATACCCAGTCTGACATTAGTTTCATCCCTGTAGGTATTTCTATACCTATATTGGGTATAGGAGCCCAAGGCTCCAGCCAAGACCAGAGTGAAGACACACCCCAGCTCAGACTGCTTCATGTCAAAGCTGGAGAGGTATCACAATTTAATATGAAGTCTTCTAACAGGTCATCCAAGGGCAAATCCCAGTTACCCAAGACTGACACATTTCTATGCAGAACTGTGCTTGGTACAAAGTGCCTTTCATGGTAGCTAGTGGAAGCCGGCAGAGACTTGCTTTACAGATACTCTGAGCATGGGGTTTTATCTTAAGGAGCTAAGTTGCCTCCTTAAAGCGTGCCAAACCACTAGATGATACTGGGTCATTTCATGGCTCAATATTGCTACTGTCCCCTTCTAGGATGGGAGCTCAGTAGAACTTCCATAAAAATTAAGGGGAGCATCATCAAGGACTTCATCAATAAGACCTGACTTACACTTTATGTGGGACACCATTAACTCAAATATGAACAAGTGTCCAAGAAATGGTGACATATCCCTGACTGTCTGCACTGAACTGCTGCTAAAGCCTGAGCTATAATTTTGAGGCTTCCTATAGATCAGTGAAAAAATGTAGGAGAAAAACAGTAAGCAGCATCATGTAAAGGGAGAATTCCCCATCACTCCTGAGCACCAAGTTCATGTGTCAGCATCAAGAAATCTCACAAAACTGAATATGAAACTTCAAGAATGGCACTAGGTGGCAGCATGTGACACCACAAACTGTGGTCTGGGCTGTGCAGCCCTCCTAGATGCCACCAAGGCTGCCAGCACGAAGGGTGGCTGAAGGTAAATAAATTCCTGCATCTATTGGCTCATCTTCTTGTGCCTGGTGGGGAAGCCAAGTTTCAGGCTTTTGGCTGAAGTTCTGTCCCAGGCTGAAAATTGACTCTTTTCTTTCATCTTTGTGAACCTGATGGGATTTTCCTCTGGAAATCCTCTACGTGCCCTTGGGTAGGCCACGTCATCCTGCTCTGCTATTTTTTAAAATATTCCCACAGGGAAAAAGGCTTTTCCAGTTGTGTTTACACTCACCAACAGCAATGGCAGAAACATGGGGTAGGATTAATGGTGTCTGTCCTGCAGTGATCATTATGAGTGTTTTAATAATACATATAAATACAGCCATAATGGAAATAAGATCAATGTCTAAAAATTACATGCTGGTAGAAGGTTTCTAAAGGAGGCTGTGATTCCACATGACAGTTCATAGGGTGTAGCTGGGTTCATTGCAGGTGCTGCTGCTTCGTCCTCCCCCCAGATCCATGGACACATTATTCAGTAGTTGGTGTCCACCTGTGTTCTCTGAAGCCACCATTCTTGGCAAAAGCTGCAGCCCTGGGTGGGGGGGGGGGGGGTGTTAACTGATCCCAACTGGTGACTCTTGTGTTCTTTATTATAGTTTAAAAAAACTTAATCACAGCAAGGAAGGCTTGAGCAAGGACCCCTGCCCTGTAGAGTTAGCTTGGTGGTGGTGTAACCCAGGGGAGCCTCAGGGCTGCTCTAAGTTGGGATGACCCAGCTCCTACAGGAGCACTACAGAGAAGCATGTGGCCAGTTGGGGCAAACACATCTCTTTTATGGGTTAAACAGCCAAGAAGTGTGTTTGCCTCTGTTTATCCCCAACCGCCCACCCCTAAAGACTCACTCCAGCTGCTTAATTAGGCTGTTGGTGTGCTTGTGCAGCTGAGCTCTTAGAGGGGTCTCAGCAGCAAGAACAACGTTGGCCCTTAATTGCTAATTGAAAGTCCTGCCTAAATGAGAGCATAGGGGGTGGGTTATTTCCAGTATTTGAGTGCTTCCCCAAGCAGAACACCTGCATTTGGAGATGTCTGTTCAAGTTGTCCCCTTTCTTTACCTGATTTCTGACCTCTGAGCCCTTGCTCTCAGTTTTGGATCTCACAGACCTATGCCAAGTAGCAGAGAAGAAGCACAGCCACGAGCTTCAAGCAGGGGCTCTAAAAGAGAAAGATCTCAAGAATAAAGTGAAGGAGCTGCAGTTCTGGGGCATCTAGAGTGGGATTTAGCCTGTGTCCCTGATGTCCTATCCCTAACCCCCTGTGGGTATGGAAGGAAAAACTCAATCTCAGTCAAACACCTGCAGCTTTGGATCCTCAGTGTTGAGCAGGTAAGAGATGGGAAGTTGAAAGGTGTTGCTGCCTGGTTTGGAAGGTTGTGGAGAAGAGATGAAAATTCAGGTGAAGTAGAGAAAGCAATGCATTTCTCTAGGTCTGGGTTTTAAATAACCTGATCTATGGCAGGAGTTGTATAGTCCTGGTAATGCAGCTCCAGTTTAGCACTGCAAGCACATGATGGGGATTCTCCGAGGCCTGAGCCTCACCCAGGTTTTGTATTGAATAAAAGCATCAATGTAGGAAAATATCAGCACAGAAAATGCATGTAGAGGACTTGTCACTTACTTCTTTTTTTTTTTTTTTAAGTGAAGTAGCATCTCTAACCCTTCTGCAGGTGGGACATTAGCTGCAGTCCTTTACCTCCTTTACAGTAAATTATATAAATATAAAGGTATTTCTGGAGCTTTACATATGTTGTAATGTGTGTGTGAAAAACTCAGATTCCAGGTCAGGTAGTCATGGATTTCAGGGCTTGGAGGCTAAGAGATCTGGGAAATGCAGGAAGACGAAAGGAAAGAGGTCAAGGAGGAGTGATCAAGGGTCTTTTATGTTTGTTTTGGGGTGTTTTTTTTTTTAATATCTAGATATGTGGGGGATGGGGGTAGTGTGGCATGTATATACCATGCTGTTGAGGGGAGAAGGTGAAGGTATGTGTAGGTACACAGCATACATAGCGATTCTCAAAACCTAAAATAATTGCTCTGTACTTTCATGGGCCCCTATTGCAAACCACATCTGTCTGCTTTACCTACCTCTCTGCCTTTAAGCTGATGTCAGACCTGGATGGGCTGTTTGGCCTGAAGAGCCAAAACCAACCCTAGTGATGTAAGTTGCATCCCTTCTGCAAAGGGCTCTGTCTTGGCCACATTAGCCCCATGAAAGCACTAAGTTTGGGATGCAGGTACACAGACACCACAAAGGGAAATGGGTCATTACAGGAAAGGTGACCTCATGGGCAGCACGAGGGCATGTGTTCTTGTTGGGTGTCTCCAGAGAGGCAAGACTCATGGGGTCAGGCAAGAGAGTAAAGGCAGAGCATTGCTGCACTGATCCCTCTTTGGCTGTTCTTAGAAGATGAAATCTTCACCTTGTGCTAATGAACCAAAAATAACCTCTCTGTGGTCAGTGTAGCTGCTCTGCCCCAGGTATCAAACCTGAGCTGGTGGTAAAGCTCATCCAGGGATGGCCATTTGACAGTAGGACCTCCTATTTAAATTTCTGTAGGATATTTGTTTCCCTCACCATGATGCCGTGACATGTGCCCAAGTCCCCAAGAAAGCCCATATCAGTGGGTCAGAGAAACTCAGAGCTTTTCAAACTCGCCTTACTTGAGGTCTTCGAGGTGGGTGCTCTTTAATGATGCTGGTTTCTCCCTTTTCTGGCACAGTGTTGAAAGAAAGGGGTCCTTAAAGATGAGAGAAGAAATGGATGAAGTTACTTTTGGATGACCATCAATTGCTAGGCTGTACTTGACAATAGTTTTCTACACTTTTTTTTTTTTGGTTGGCATGTCCCAGTAAAGTCTCTCTTGGTGTACTCCAGTAACACATGGTATAAATTATTCTATTAGCTGCAGAAATGAAGTGAGCATGTACCTGTGCCTGCTCTTTCTAACAGATGCCTGCCATGTACCTCTCCTGCTTCCCTCTACAACTTCTCATGTATCCTGTATGTGTCAATAAACATCCTCTGTGTCTACTGTGGCCTCCCTGAGCCCCTCAGTCCCCTGTGTGACCAAGGGTTCTCCTCTGCTTCTGTGGCCTGTAACCGTCAGGTGGCCAAAAAAACCTCTGAGCATTGCTGTTTCCCCACTGCCTGCCCTTTTAAAGTGTGGAACAGGCAGCAGTTTGGATCTTTTGTTGCTGCTCATTCACTGAGACTTTATTATTGGTGTTTGGTGGAGCTGAGAAATCTCTCTGATGCTTTTACAGACTGTGGCAGAGCTGGGCTACAACCAGTGGGTTCAGAAGTTAGCAGGTTATGCTTAGACAAGCAGTATGATCACAGGCCCTCATCTTTGGAAATCAGCCCAAAATAACATGCTACACACCAGTGATCACCTGTTATTAAAGCAGTGCTTTGGCTGAGGTCTGAATGTGATCTGGGCTTCGGTCTGTTCTGTGCTGGTGCTCTTGGGTGGACAACACTGCCTGCGCAGTGCAGAGTGCATATTTCTTTTACAGAAGACTTTCTCTAACCCACCTATTCTCCAAAAACTTGCCTTGGTGCTTTCAAATGCCATTTTATACATAGTGTTGAGTGAGGTGTTGCTGAGCAGCTCCTGCTCCCTTGTGGGGGGAGCCCCAGGGTGGCTGCAGCAGAGAGCTGGGGATAAAGTGCAGGAATTGCATTGTAGTTGATGCCAAATTTAATAGTTGTATTAGAAAGAAAAATAATAATTTGGAGATCACCTTATGGGGGACTTCGGTGGGTCCTTTGAGTGAGTCTCCTAGTGGGTTGCCAAGGAAGGGATCCTGGAGAAGTGAGAGGACGATGGAAGGTGTTGGGGAATGGGAGAAGATGGTGACTCAATCGGATAAATGTTTGCTGGGCTCTGCAGAGCACTGGCAATGATTAACTGCTAAACAAAGCTGTGGCTGCTCTGTACATGCAAGAATGGGTGCCTGAAGTGAAAATTTACAGTGCAGGAGGCTCCTCCAGAGACAGACTTCAGCTGCTGGGAAGATGTGCTGAAATAGCAGCTTATGATAAAAAAAGAGAGGTTACTAAGTTACTGCCTCTCAATCTGCAGGACAAATCAGTGCACAGGGAATTTCTAATGAAGTAAAATGTAAGGAGGTGTCTCATGGTGCTGGGAACATGGGACACAGCACAGGCAAGGGACTGCAACTTGGAGAAACTTGTTCTGGTGAGAGGTATGGCTTTGGGGAAGTTATTTCTCCTGGATGAAGTGTGATGGTTTGTGTTCTATGTGTTTGGGGTTGTTCTTTAAGTTACTCCCCTTTATCTTACCCATGTGTGTGTTTTGTAGGAGATTTGTCCTTATCCTCTACAGATACAGAACTGGGAGCCAAGAGCTCTCTGTCCCTGAATCTGCTTTGTCCTGGGGCAGGAACGGTTCCTGGCATACCTGCACGATGCCAGCAAGGAGGGACCATCATCTCACTGCACTGTGCTGGCAACACCAAGCCCGAGCTGAAGGTGTTCTTGTGACCTCTGTTTTATCTACCTTTGCACTTTGGTAGCAATGGATCCTCCCTGATGAACTAAGAGGGATTTAACACAAGCCAAGACAAACCCTCATAAGCCAAATAAAACCAATTCTCTTGGCGCCTTTGCTTATTTAGCCAGCAGCTCAAGCTAATACATCACTCCAGTACTCTTGAGCATACTCCTTTTATTTCTGAAAATGAAAAGTAATAGAAAATGACATTTGTCAAGAGAGTTTAAAGTTTGGGGGTTTTTGTTTTGTTGTTTGGAGTTCATTGGGGGTTTCTTTAATAAAAGTACTTTTTTTTTATAAGCACTTGTTAAATGCACAGTGATTATTGATAATTTTCCAGAACAGGAAAATTGGTTGTTCTTCCTGTCACGAAGTACTTGAAATGCCCTGTTTTACAGCCAGATCTGATTTGTATTCTCACCGAGACCTCCAGTTCCAGGAATGTCACTGCTATAATGCTGGAGGTTTGTTTGCTTTCACTGCTCCTTGATGCTGAATGATCCTGAAGGAAATATCCAGCCCCTGGGGAAGCAGTGGTGCTTAACACTGCGTGGTATGTGTCAGAAGTTCATTTTTTGAAATGGAACAGAGGGGAGGAGGGTGCAGATCCTCATTCCTCTGCATTGCCCTGTATCAGACCACATTTGCGTTCATAGGAGCTAAGCTCACCTAACTTGGCTGTGGGAAGCCGTTTGTCACTATCCAGCTTGTGCAGAGCTCTGCATCCACTTTCAGATGGGTGCAAACTTCCTTCCTTACCTCAGGAAGCATTTGGGTATGGATGAAGTTTAAAACCTGCTGTGAAAGGCTGTATGATGCCACTTGTAGAAAAACAAACATAGATGTTGTAATATACACACACAATAGCTATGCTATTTGCCTTTCCCTGCCTCTTGGCTTAGGAAATTAGCATGTACAAGACATAGCTATAATTTATTTTAATGCTTTTACCTGCTGAGCACATTACCCAGCATCTAATTCTAATTGAGCTGGCAATATCGACATGCGCAGCAGTGGCAGATGAGCAGGATGGGTGTATGGCCAAGAGTTATGGGGCTGCTGTATGAGGGTTTGCTTGGATAAAGGCTGTTTTCATCACATGCCAGGTTGATGCTGGGGAGTGGATGTTGGCTATTGCCAGGGGCATAACTGATGGAAGTAAGGAGACTGGATCTGGGCTCTGGTGACTGAGATGCTTTCCAAAACAAGTGAGGAATGGGGTGAATTGAGTTTTCCCAAAGCTAAAACATCCTGGAGATGGCAAAATATTACTGATGCAGAAAGGCATCAATACACACATGTACACACCCCCAGCTGCCCTGCAGTGAGCAAACCCACAGCCCCAGCAGATGCCCCCTGATTCTCTGCCCTGCACTTTGCAGTAATACGGTGGTGACCTCCTTACCTGCAGAGGCTCGTCCGTGCCAGGTCTCCCGCAGAGGTGGAAGTTCCTTGTGAATGGTAGGGTTTCCCCACTTCGCCGCAGCCAGCGGGTGCAGGCTGGGCTGTTCTGGCATGCTGGGGTGCCAATATGGGGTGGTGAGAACTGGCAGGTCCTCCCCAGTGCGCATTGGTTCCACCTTGGTCACCTTGGGGTGCGCTTTGGAAGAGTTCAGGCCCATTTTGTGGAGTGGTGGCTTGAATGGAGAAGGAAAATCCGCTCACGTACTGTCCTCCCTAAACACGGAGGGATCTGCGTGAGCAGCTGCAGGGCCCACACATCCTTCCCAGCTTGGTTAAACATTGACCTGTTCAGGCCATTCCCCTGCGCAAGTGAGAGGTGGCTGTGGCTGGTGAAGAAGTGGAAAGCAGCTCAGAGAGCCAGTGTCAAGCCCCAGGGAAGCTTTGTTTTCTGCCTATAAGTGATTTTCAGCTAGGGGCACCACCTCAGCTAGCTGTTGGCTGACCTGGAGTTATTTATATAGGCAGCTATTTTGATAAATATTAAGATTTTTAAGGAAATTTAATCCTTGGAGCACCAGAAGGGTGAAAGCGTCTCCCACTGCATGGAAGAAGTAGCATGAGGATGAGGGCTGGCTGAGGAGCTCCTGACAGCACTGCTGGAAAAAATGCAGCTTTAGCACAAACCCACCTGAAAATGTGGGCCCAAGTGAGCCATATTATGCACTTGTGGAGCTCCTGCAGGATTTGGGCCAAATGCAGCAGGAGCAGTGTGTAGGGAAAAGATCTGTACTTCCACACTGGCTCCCAAGCTGGGTGAGGGGGTTCAAGTTTTACTCAGAACTGTGTGTAGTCATTCATTTCCAAGGTGGAGTGGTTGGAAAATATGTAGGGAGGATTACTTACGCAACAAGATTAATAGTGCAGGGTGGGTTTTATGGCAGCAGTGGGGTTGTGGGAGGAGGTCAGGACTGTGCTGCAAAAAGACGTGGAAACCAGCAAACACAACAGTGCAAGGGAGACCCCAAAATGGCATCAGCGCTGGGGTTCCTTCAGTGGAAGCTTACCTCACTGGGATTTCCTGGACTGATCCTGTATAGGTTTGGAGCAATTACGGCCTCTTTTGCCTTTTCCTCCTGGGAGAGGACTGCTGGGAGGAGGATTGCACAGGGAAGTGAGGGTTATGGCAGAGCCAAGCATCTGTTACTTATGGCCAGTAGATCCACAGATGAAGCACTTCCCCTTCCCAGAAGTGGGGAGCTGAGTGCCCATAGCCACTGCAAAATACCACTGACCAGGAGTGACACTTCCCAGAAGAAATCCTGGGTTCCTGGAGCAGCCCAATAAGTTCACGTTTAAGCCACAAGGTACCAACATCACTTGTGACTTTGCTTTACAATAGGTCACACAGGGCAGGAGGGAGCAGAAGAGCTTAGGTTTCATTTTAGGTTTTGTTTGTTTGTTTTCTCCTCTTTTTCTAATGAAAATATAAAATCAGCGCCCTGCTTCCCTCCCATGTCTACTTATCTATTTTTAGGGTTTTTTTACTCCCTCCTCCCCTGCTGAGAACAGGTCATTCCTGTTAAGCAGCTTGGGAAAACTGTGAATTAAATGCAGTGATGGATGTGTCAGAGCAGTGGAAAACCCATGTGGATTTCAAGCTAGCATCCATCCTCCTGTATCTGGGTGTTTCACCTGGATGCAGTGCTGTGGCCCTGGCCTGCTGGAGTACTCTTGGATCCCCATGCTGGTAAACACCCCCTTTTGGACAGGTTTCTTTCCAAGCCATATGGGTTTCCTCAATTGCCACAGCCTGTCATACAGTGATTTAGGGAAGGGGAGATCAAAGGGACAGGCGTATCCAAGACTAATATAGCTTCAAGCACTTCATCTCTGGGTGAAGAGGCAGCACCTTGATGCTGCATCAGTTAATGACCAGTTTTTCTCAATAAATCCCTAAAAAGCAGTCTTCAAAAAGACACCTTTCCTGCAGGTTGCTGGGGCAAACTGAGAGCAAATTTGGGGTTGAACAGGGTTCCATAAGGGCCCAGTGGTACTGGGAGAGGCTTCCAAATATTATTACTTGAAACTGCTGAGCCAGAATTACCCCTTCACACCTTTACCAGAGCTCCCTGGAGAGCAGGGTGCTGTGTGGATGCTGGGGGTTTGCTGGGTGAGCTTTGCATGTGCAGTGATGATTGTGGCTACTGGCATTAACCTGCTGAGCTTGAGAGTGAGCAGGGGCAGCCTTGCTACAGCACAAAGTGATGCTGTGTTACCCCCCTCACTTAAACCTGGCTTTAGCACCAACTGATGGATTGGATGAAGGGAAGGATGTGTTGAGGTAGAACAGAACAGACTATTTCAGCTGGAAGGGGACCCACAATGATCATCTAGTCCAGTCTGACCAGTTCAGGGCTGACCAAGTTAAAGCATGGTATTAAGGGTGTTGTCCAAATGCTTCTTAAACACTGACAAGTTTGGGGCACCAACCACTTCTTCAGGAAGCCCGTTCTAATGTTTGGCCACCATCTCAGTAAAGAAATGCTTCCTAAAGCCAACCTGAAGCTCAGGACTACCTTTATTACTGACCTCCTGGTGATGTGAAGCTCATAGTGGTTTTTTTTTTTTAACTGGGGTGTTACTTAATGAAGTCTTTTATCTGTATTTAAGGTTTGTGTTGATTCCCAAGTGCTGTGCTGTGGAAACATAGTGATGCAAAGAGCTTTGGTCCCATAGATCGCTGTTAGGGACAGCATGTGGTCCCTACCAGGAGGGCTGGAAGCTCTTTCCACCTTTCTCCCATTTCATTAATTGGCTGAAATCCTCCACCAAATTCAGCTGGAACCTGTAAGTGACACTGATCTCACTGGAATTGGATTTTCCAGCAGATTTTTTTCAGTCAAAATGGAAATGTTGACACCTGAGTGCTCTGATACCCTTGTTGTGAGGAAGATACGAGGAAAAGCTCAAGGGTAGGGCAGTGTCATAACTTGGGCAGGGTTTTTCCCACTGAGAGGCAGAGTTTGTTATTCTTTGCACATGGAGCAGTGGTGAATCAAGGGGAGGATTTGGCATGGGGCACTAGTCTAACATTGAACTGCAGCAGTGAACCACCTCTGCCTTAAAACTTCTCTGCTTTAAAGATAATTTCTCTGCCTTAAAATTTAGTTTTAAATTACAAAAAGCACAGGCACAGGAGGAGATGGAAATGGGGCAGCATGGATTTTAGCCAAAATAACACCTGGATTTTATGCAAATCTCTGTTAAGAGATGACCATTAATGATGCAAATAGGCTTGCTGTTTATCATGCTTGCAGCAAGTACAGGGAGCAACAGCATGAACAAATGGAGCAGTGAAGAGAGGAAAATAATCCAGCACCATTCACTGTCTGGAATACATACTAGTACAGCTACTGGATCACATTATTACACATCTGTAAAGTTGAGAAATACGGCTTGTTCCTCCCTCCTCTGCTTGTCGCTTGTATTAACAGGGGATGTTCATCTTAATTAGCCAAGGCTGACGGTACCAGTGGTGCTGAGATAACATTGTCTGCGGTGCCTGGTTGTCGAGCCCTCTGGAGAGGACATATGCAGGCAGCGATGCTCGAGATGGGTTATTCGCAGCATGTTTTGTTTTCCTTCCAGGGAGCCAGGCCCTGGTGTGAAGGAGAATCTGATGATGCAGCTGCCAGACAAAACTGCCATTTTCCTTGGGGTGCAAATGAGGCAGCACAACTGAAATGAAGCCCTCACATTGCTGGAGATGGTAGAAGGGCTCATCAGAGACACCCACAGCAGAGGAACTAACACATCTGATCAGTCACTTGATGGGTGTGATTACTGGTTTGCATACCTTTGATGGACTGTCAGCACCATCATGCAAAATAGCCTCCATTTATTGTCTGATTTCTTGGGTTTTAATGGGTTTTCTCCAGCTGAAAGGCTGAGCTGAGGGACTCTAGGGAAAACAATTACCTTCCTCACTCAGTAAGGAGGAAAAAACGGCTGGTTGGGCAGCAGGTGAAGGAGGGGGCCATAGGGAATAGCTGAGCGTGATGAACACCCCTGGACAGCATCTGGGAGTGATGCATTGGAGGGATTAGGTACCTGCTTGCCTCTGGGGATCTGGGGCACTTGTGGCTGCAGTGGCAGAGTTGTCTGGAGTTGCTGGTGGGGGAAGGATGAAGAAGCAAATCCCTCCTGCCCACCCTCAGCAGGGGCTGGGAGAAGCAAAGTGGCAGCGGAGAGCGGAAAGCCTTCTGTAGAACCTTAGCACTGTTCAATGTGCAGGCAGCAACACGAGGGATGCTTGCTCTGAACAGAAAGCTTGGTTTGGGTTAGATGGTGTCTGTTAAGCCTGATGTGAGGTGGAAGGTGACTGCACGGGTCAGAGCTATACATATTTTCTCCCTGTGGAAATCAAGGGTGATCACTGGTCCCTGGGAAAGGGGCAGGCACAGGGTTTGCTTGTAGAGAGTGTTGAGACATGTTAGTTGTTAGCTTAAGTAAGTTTTAAATAGAAGAAGTCACTTCTAGAGTTATAATATTGTGTAGATTAGTATGCTGTTTGCTTAGCTTTACCTTCTTAGTATGAGTAGCTAGATTTGCTGCAGCCTTAGCCTGCAACCTGTGCACTTTCATATAGATACACTTTTGGTTGGAATAGAGTTAGTTAATTTTCTTAGGATTGTTTCCTAGTACAGTGCTGTTTTGTCTTTAGTATGAGAAGAACACTGGTAATACACTGATGTTTTAGTTGCTGTGGGGTAATGTTTATTTGAGGTCTGGGATTTCAGTGTCCCATGCTCTGCTGGCAAGCCGGTACACCATATGCGCAAACCAGGAGATAAAGAGGCCACAACGATCAGCAGCAGCTGCAACTCAACAAGAAAAGAACGGTTCATGGCTTACCTTCATGGAGACAGAGAAAGAACCCAGCAAGGTATTAGGTAACCCCAGACCAAAACCACCACTGGATTAAAAATGCACATGAAGGGCACGTGAGCAGCATAATTCATAAGATTTATTCATGTGCATAAATCATAAGGGTACTACAGCGGCTTTTGCTGACTGAGAGTGACAGGTTGGCATAGTGACACTCTGTGTCCCTGGCCGTGAAACACCTGAAGTAGAAAAAAATAGACTGAAATATAGGGTTTGCATGATGTTCCCTGTTGAATCCTCAATTAGGTTCCTTGAAGGATCCAGTCCTGGGCTTGAAGATGCGGCCATGAGGCTGCTTGCCAAATTTGTACTCAGCAATGCATACTAACAGGAAATGTTTCTTATTCCCATATGTTCGGTTTGGCAGAAGCTAAATTTCAGTAAAACACATCACTAAAACTATCTAGTAATGTAAATGAATATATTAAGTCCAAAAATTGACTTGGGCTCATGCCCAAGCTCCCATGTGCTATTTGTTTTCATCACATCGTATCTCCTGTTCAATATAATTCACTTCTTATAGAATATTTTAAATGTCTAACTCCTTTCAAAAGCAGTAGACAAACAGCTGAGCCCATCTTCTCCAGATGGGTTTAGTGCAAAGGGGATGATTGGTTGGGCTGGTTTCTACAGACCTAATTCTGTAGCCATGTAATGGAAGAGCCCAAGTTTGGTTGGTTTTGTTTTGGGGTTGTTAGTTTGGTTCTGTTTTTTTTTTATTATATTTTGTTAGCTCTACTGGTTTTGTTAGCTCTACTGGTTGCAAGGAACAGTTTAGACAGGAACATTAAAAACCCTCAAATAGAAGAGAGTAAACCAAAAGAAGTGGTTTTGTTATTACTTACATGAATTTGTTTGCAGCAGTAGTCAGCCCTAATGGCTATGGGGACACACTGGCTGCCCACCACCCTTCAGCCCCACCACTGCTTCCTCTGCTTCTGGGACCAGTCCAGCCCTAGGGCACTGCTCAGAGAACTGTGCAGCTTGGCTGGTTTGTGTTGACTTTTGAAAGGCTTTTCCACTGTGGAGGTTAAGAAAACATACTTGTTGGGCCCAGAGCTCTATAAAATAGGAACTGACATTTCCTTGGGATGCTGGTGGTACAGGGTTAGTCTCTCCTGAGAAGCTTGTTTAGCTGGGAGTGCAGCTTTTCTGGGAGAAGAGCTAAAATAAGGCTATTCTTGTCTTTACTGCTACTTACTAAAGGCACCCAAAATCCAGCGACAATGCTAGGAAGCTGGTGTTGGGACAAGGCACAGCTCAGCATGACTCTGGAAGGAATGAGGGGCTAGCGCTGGAGCCTGGTCAGGGGAGAGAAGCTATGGGTGCTTTGGTGGGTCCAGGTTAATAGGATGTTTGCAGCTAAAGAGTCACAGGCTAGAGCAGACAATGAGTGCCATGAGTGGGGTCGGTTCTTTAGCAAAGGCTGGGATAAGGCGTGAAGCTGCCTAAGGGCTGATCATAGCCCTTAGATCATAGCTGATCATCCTGGAGTGGAGGGCATGATCAGCACCAGCTCAGTATTCAGTTTGTGTGACTAGGGCTGCTAGAATTCCTACAAATCCACAAACTAGCAAAACTGTTTTCAACTTTTTTGATCAGCAACAACTCACCTTAAATATATGGTTCTCCTATGCTCAGCTATGGAATTCTCTCTTCCAACTGGACTGGGAAGCAAGGTGTCTCAGCAGTGCTTGCCCACACCACTGCCCCCAGTCATATCCTGGGTGTCACATTTGTTGAGACATCAGTCATCAGTACCAAGCCATGGATTCCCACTGCCTGCAGGTACTGTATTCAACAGAGAGGAGACAACCTTGCAGAGCCATGTCTCCGAGCTAATAGCACTGTAGCATGTCCAGGTTTTGTGCAACATAACTTCCATCACATTTCACAACGTAACACAACGTAACAAAAAATTAATGTTTTGCACCTCATAGAATATTTAGTCTGATAATAATTCCTAATATTGACATGAACATTGGCCTCTTGCAGAAGTGGATTCTCAAAAAAGCCAGGAGAGGTTTGAAATGGCTTTCCAAAAGTACTACCTCACTGAAAGGTCACATTATTGAAAGGTCACATTATTGAAAGTTAAGTTGACATGTTGAATTCTGAGATTTAGTTGGAAATATCCAAGATTTGTATCCTTGAGAATGGCTCTACTTTTGCCAGCAAAAGGAGATAAACAATGTAGACTTTGATTCATATTTTAAATGCACCAGTTCAGTAAGACACAAGCTTAAATGTTTTTTTTTATTACAAAACATTTTATTGTAGTTATTTACACCCGTTCCTTGATAAGTGTATAAATGTAAACATTTATTATAGATGTACTTCTCTTATCTTACAGTCCATCCCTCTTCAGAGTAAATGTCATTTTTAAGCATACAAGTAGTGGGAAATTTAAGCTATATTCACAGAATATACATCTGCGTGCAGTTGAAGTCCACCACCCCTAAGCTAGTGGTATAGACACTGTACCATTAGCTCTGCTTCTGCTTCTTGTGTGTACGCTGGAGTCTGTGATGTCATCAGCATGATCCTCACTTTTCTTCTCTTTCAAGCTGTTGATGAACCGCAGGGTTATTTCATCCCATTCCTCAGGAAGCAGCATGAGCAGAAACCCAATGCAAATGATGATGGTGGCTCCCAATCTCACTACACTGAAGATCATTTTGTGCTTTAACAGATCCACAGCTGTGAAAAAGAAATGACAATGCTGTCAAGACTGCAGCAGGTTGAACTACAGCATCAGACCAGCCTGGCACATGTCCATAACCTGTGTGTTGCACTCTGGCCATGTTCCTCTCAATCCCCTACAGTGACCAGCTCCTTGAGTTAAGAACAGCTTTGACCTGGCCACGTAGTACTGGAAGTGCCACGTCTCCTCTGTGCCTAACCACTTTCATGTAGGCTCCAAGGAAGCTTTATAGAGCTGGTCTAAACCTCGAGGTTTTAATTTTTGCTCTGAGAGGGAAGCTACTTTATGTTAACCCTCTATCTACAGCAGGTTACCTGAGTGTAATGTTTCCTTGGGCTGGACAGACCAGGGATGGGGAGAGAGCATTATGCAGGTCAGAAAGCTGGAGTCGATGCCTCTGTGCCCAGCCTCCCAGCTCCACAACCAGCAACAATAGTGCAGCTGAGCCCTTCAGCAGCCTTTTTCCGGTACTGACTGTTTAATAGCTCTGACCTGTATTCCTATAAAAATAGATGTTTCTTTGAAAACATCCTCAAATACCTGGAGTAGCGAGGCTAAGAAGGTGAAGGAGGAGACAGAGGCTATTCAATAAGATATGACTCTGAAGTAAACTTCCACATATACATACTGCCTTGCTGCTCCACGGCAAGTCACCAGCACAGTGCTGAGCTGCTGCAGCAGCACACTGGCCCCACCATTTCTCAGCAGCAGCCAGCAGCTTTGGGCTATTGGCTGGGGATCAGCCTGCTCTCTCCCCTGCACGGTATGGATGTACCCTGTCACTCCCAGAGAAAGAGGCAAGACAAAACCCAAATGCTTTTGCCATCTGAAACACCCACCATCACCAGGAGTATCTGTAGAAGCCATAGGAGACCAAACTGCTTTTGAAACTTGTGACAACAGACTCTGACTATGTAGACAATAAACTTCTGCTATCTGCATGCCCGTGTGTTTATTTTTCTACTAACAACCATGGTACTTGTACCTGCATTTCCAGGGACGCTGAGCACTGTGCCAATTGAGATCAGAATGGGGTATGTAAGCACGACACCAACATTAACCAGAATATTGAAAGCTAGGGATAAACAGAGAAAGTAGTATGTGATTTATGGAGAGAAACGCTACACTGAGGCTTTTGTCCGCCACCTTGACCCTACAAGTATGATGCATGCTCAGTATGCACACCACAGTGATGTAGTTGTCACAGTGATTAATTTTTAATTTTTTATATATGAGTGTGAAATGAGGGGCAGTTCTGTATGAGGGAAGAGGGAGGTCTGCATGCCCTTTCACTAACTGTAATACCACCGTTATCACACTGTATTTCACAGCTTTGTCCAAGCTTCAATCAGACACCAACAATCCAGTTTTGCTGCCATAAGCCATCACTTCTCCTACCAGAATGATGTGACCCCAGCTTCCCCATTTTGGCTGAGGCTGTGCTGTCCTCGTCTTAGTAAGACTTTTCACTGAGGAAAGGCCCTGCCCCTCTCTACCTCAACCACATGCCAAAGGTGATAGCAGCAGGAATTCATGATCTAAAGGATGCTAAATACAACTGCCTGATGAAGTTAACTGTGAACTAGGCAGACTGGAGTGAGACTATGGTCTTTCTGCCATGCTGAAGGCAAAATGAAAGCTGACAGAAGTACAAATGTACCCCAAATGGGTTGAGGTTTTTTTACATGACAGCATTCCCAGCCAACTCCAATTTCCTTGAGAGATCAAAAACAAATTGCAAAAACTTGATTTTCACACCATTCCCTAGGGTGCTCCTCCAGCTCTCACAGCCAGGGACTAGTTCTGTCTGTTGCAGCAGGACCACAGGTTCCCCACTCAGACCTGCTGATGAGTCCCCTATGTAAAAGGAGGAAGCCTGCTCACTCTGCAAAGTTTTTCCCTCGTGCCTGGGATTATATGCTTGGGTAGATAGCTGGGTGATAAATTATCCCTACTTTTGTCCCTTAGGTGCTCACAGAGCAGCTGCAATTCTGGTTAGAGCAGTTACAAGGTGCTGCCAGTTGTTAGCCCAACCACGTCTTGGGATGGCTGCATGGATGGGCTATGTACTGGCCAATTACATCCTTTTTGTTTCCATTTAATACACTTGCAGGGGAGACAAAAACATCTTCAATTACAAAATAATAAAGACTTTACTAAAGGAAAGGATGTTGTTACACCTGGAAATTAAAACGTCCCTGGGCTGAATCCAACTCTATATTCTGTCAGGCTAGAGGATAGCAATTGTGGCTCTGAAAGAGGGAGCATTGTGGAAGGGCAGAGGGGAGGTGAAGACCACAGGCAATGAAACAGCACTAGCCTTTGCAGGTTGATGCAAAGCTGTGCGAGCTCTGCCCAGAGCCCTGCAGCACCCACAGAAAGGTGCCTCAGCACTGTGGGTGTCTGTGTCAGAGCACACACTCCACAGAGCACACCAGGAACCAACAGGGTACACATGGCCCTTTGAAACTGGATTTATAGCAATCAATCAAACTGTGACAGAGACAGTGAAATACTAATGAAATTATGGTAGGAGTATAAAGATGAAAACTGGACAATTCATACGACTGCTTCATGTTTACTGTTAATACTAAGGCTTCTTATGAAAATCATGAATCATTTATCAAGGGGTACCTGTTTGCACAGGGCTCAGATTTAATCTATGAGAGAGCTCTGCTGCTTAAAGGGGTAGGGGGAAATGTTTGTGTCTGAGCCTGATTTTGTATTAGGGTGGGAGGGAGAAGAACTAGAAAAATTAGTCCATTTTTTATCACATACCTAACCAGAGTCCAGCTACTCCACAGAGGTAACCCCATGGAACAGCAGAGAAGGGGGACCAGTACTCCACTTTTGTAAAATACAGTATGACTGGGGTAACAGAGATGAAAATTAAATTGAAGAAGCCCAGGGTAGAAACAAAATGTGCCGCTTCCCCGAAGTTTGCACTTCCAAGAAACATTTTGAACAAAACCTGTAAAGGAGAGAAGAGAGGAGCGTTTCAGATGTCATGCTTGTCAAAATTCTCCTTGCACAGTGTCTTCAGTCCCTTGGGGAGACGAGGACACAGTACAGCCCTGACTAGGCCAGTGTGCCACAACCTGGCCCTTTCCTACAAAGGAGTTCTGAATGGGGATCTTTGGTCTGATTTCTGCCCCTTCCTGCATTTTAGCACAGGAGGCTACCACCTTATTATGTGGGGATATACCATTCTATGATTCTATGGCAGGTGAATCTGTGTAACGAAGCTTAATGCAAAATGCTATGAGCAGCCAGTGCAACTAAGAATGCAAGGACAACACCATGCAACTATGTAATAGGATTTGGGCTGTGCTTGGCACTGTTAGGATTTGTGAGGGGATTCCAGTGACTTCCATAGCATGACCCTGCTGAGAGAGGAAAGCCTACCCTCAAGGGACTCACTTCAGGCTCATAGGCAGCACAAGCCTCTGGAAGGATTTGTCCTATGTGAGCCTAAATTCATACACTTTGAATCACAGAATCGTTTGGGTTGGAAAGGACCTTAAGATATCTAGTTCCAACCCCCCTGCATGGGCAGGGACATGAGACCATGTCACCCAAAGCTCTGTCCAACCTGGCCTTGAACACTGCCAGGGATGGAGCATTTACCACTTCTTTGGGCAACCTGTTCCAGTACCTCACCACCCCCACAGTAAAGAACTTCTTCCTTATATCTAAGGTGAATTTCCCTTTTTAAATTTAAACCCCTTCCCCCTTGTCCTATCTCTACAGTCCCTGACAAAGCGTCCCTCTCCGGCATCCTTGTTAGGCCCCCTTCAGATACTGGAAGGCTGCTATGAGGTCTCCACACAGCCTTCTCTTCTCCAGGCTGAACAGCCCCAACTTTCTCAGCCTGTCTTCATACGGGAGGTGCTCCAGCCCCTGATCATCCTCATGGCCCTTCTCTTGACATGCTCCAACAGCTCCATGTCCTTCTTATATTGAGGACACCAGAACTGCACACAGTGCTTTAAGTAGGGTCTCAAAAGAGCAAAGAGGGGCAGAATCACCTACTTCAATCTGCTGATCACACTTCTTTTGATGCAGACCTGTATAAAGCTGAAGTTTTGGTTAAAGTTACAAGTGAGTGACTTGTGAATGGTCAGAACAAATTTATTAGAAAGGCAAGCAAAGTCTAAAGCTGGGAGGTAACTTCTTATTGCACTTCAACCAAGTCTAAACTTCTGCTCTTCTTCACCTTCTCCAAGCTGACAGTAAATACAGCCATGTTTGGCGCAACCTAACTTGGACATTCCCCTGCCTTCTTCATCCCTCACCTTCAAGAGCAGCCAGGACTTTCCAGCAGGGGACAAAGCCCTGCATCACATGCACCAGGCACACACAGGGGCTCCAAGCCCAGCACGAGACCAGAATATGCAAGACAGCTGCACTGCAGAGCAGGGATGAGCCATCCGTCCCTGCTCAAGGAAAGCAGCACTGCCTGCAGTCAGGCTCTCCTACCTGCTGCAGATGGCAATCCCCTTCAAAATAGTGTCGATAAACTGTGGTACCCGGAAATGATTAAAACATTATCCAAACTCCTTGCAGCATAGCAATGGCGATTTCATTAAAGGCTCATAAAGTGAAGTCATTCTGAATATTTGGCAGCTAACAACTAATTACCCTCATCGTAGATTTCCTGACATTGCAATATCTCCTGGTCACAATATGAATGATGCAGGAGGGATGAATATAATAAAACATTTATTTTAAAGGAATTCCCTTTGCACTCATGCATTTTTAACATCCAATGTTAAAGAACAGAAGAATACTAATAAACAGTTATGACCTACCTTATACAATGCCGATGTAGAGGCTGATCCAACAGCATATGCTACTCCAATAATTGAATCACCCTGGAAACCATCTGCATATGCCATCATTACAATTCCTGTGATTGCCATTATTGCTGCAACTATCTGCACAGACAAAGCAAAGCAATGTAAAGCTCAGAGCAATTTCATTACGCAGAAAGAAATTATCACTGCATGGGGTTTTAATGAGTGTCACTAGCTACTTTCTCTGACTTGAACCTTTCTTGTTTTCCCTTAAATGGGGAAAATTATGGACATTTGGGAGAGGTGTAAAACATAATGAAAGTATATGCAGAGACAGTGATATGGATGTATAGTACTGAAAATTCTCCTGGGATCTACTGAAAGAGCATCCATCATTAAGTATTTTATAAGCTAAACATCCACTTTAGAGATACGACTCCAAGATCAGGAAAAGTTACGACCTTATATCCTACCATACAACAAGAGAAATATTTAATGAAATTAAAACATTTAGATGGCCCACCTTCCTGCAGGAGAATGACCCTGTATTGTGGAATACCAGTGTACCACTGGGAGCTCTTCCAGGCTGTGCACAACAGCCCTGCCAGCTTGCTTGGACAGGAATGACCACATTTCTTTATGAAGCCTTTATGTTTGTGCTTAGGTTTTTTGCCTCATTTGGAAAAGCCCAGTTTCTAAGCAGATTCAAAGGAAGAGAACAGAAATAATTAACTACACTGTATCTGAAATCCTGGACCTTGACTCCAAGGACCTTGATCACAACAAGTTTTGTTCTTTGAAAAACTCCCCCTCTCTACCTAATTGCCCTCAGCATGTAAATATGCAGTCTGAAGCAATGACACCAAATAGCTTCCATTGACTGCAGAGGAAAACATGTTTCCTCAGACTTGTGGAAAATCACAGTCCCAGTTTTGAAAGATAGGGGTTTTTATAGAGACAATTATTTTTTAATTAGTATTAAAGATTTTATCATTATAAAAAGGCTGCTCATGTACTAGAGCTTGGTGTAGAGCAGAAGATGCACAAATGCAGGTACTGATAGCTTTTTTTTACACAATCAACAGCAACATTTAGGGTTCCAAATCTGTCTTCTTTTCCCAGAGAACCATTAAATCACACAACTT